GTCTTTTCATCATTAAACAAGTAGGAAAGTTTAGTCAGGCACGGCCGACCATATAATACCCTACACCATGAGTATATTTTAAAAATGTTTATTTTTCACAAAGAAACTTTTATGTTGAATTTTACCTTAATTCCAAAGTATTTAAGCAATTTATTGATAAAAAACAAATTTTCTAAATTAGGCTTTATATAGGAGTATAGGTCAAACATGGACCGATCCTCATTAAATTTGGGAAAAGGATATATTTATACCCTACACCACTTTAGTGGGGAATATTACTTGAATGTCCCAGCACAATAAAATATTATGTAAATATATTCACAAAATTTTATCGGGCTTGGTCCATATTTGCCCCTACCCCCATATAAAGCCTCTTTCATCCATAAATTGCTTAAATGTATCGGAACAAGGGAATATTGAAGATAAATGCTTTATTATGGAAAATAAATCACATTTAATATTCATAAGGGTATCATATGGTCGACCACGCCCGACTATACTTTCTTACTTGTTTTAAATAATAGTTAATTATGTCGAGTTTCATTGCGATACAAATGATTAAAATTCAATTTTAGACGTTTAAGACATTTTTTGAAGGGGGGTTTGAATGGGGCTACGGCCAAATAAGGGCCGATCATTACGAAAATCTGCAGTGTCCTTTATACTTATATAAAACTTATTTGTGCCAATTTTTAGAGAGATAATAGTATATTTGACGTAATTATGGCATGAAAAGCCCAAATCGGGAGGTACGGTTGTATGGGGGCTAGGTGAAATAATGGACCGATTTAAACCATTTTCATAGGCTTCGTCCTTGTGCCAAAAAACATGCTTGGTCCAAATTTCATCAAATTATCTTGAAAATTGCGGCCTGTACCAAGGTTTACATGGTTTACATGGACAGCCAGCCAGCCGGACGGACATGTCTTAATCGACTCAAAATGTGATTCTGAGTCGATCGGTATACTTAAAAGTGTAGGACATCAGCACAAACGTACAATACCCTTCCCACTATAGTGGTGTAGGGTATAAAATGTAGCTTAAATGTTAAATTGCTGTAAAAATTTAAAGAAAATTCTTGGAAATTTAAAGACTTTAAACTAAAAAAACGTAGACAACATTTCGACGCATTTCCTAGAAAACCCAATTATAATTAGTTATTCTTTCTCTTTAATATAACATTTTTAATGATATGCTTTATTCTGCACACTTAACTTAATAGAAAATCAAAAATTTTACCATTGAAATTGAAATGTTTCTTTAAAAGTGTAAAAGTTCTTTGATAATTTGTAAAAGGAACTGAAAAACTAATAAAATGTATAAATAAAATATGGTGTCGACAATAATTTAACATTTTCAATAAAGGACAATCACACTTCACACAAACAAAATCACACACACTTTAAAAAATTCATAATAATTGAGAGGGACACTTAATTGTTACAATACTAACTACCCCCACTATTTTCACTTTCTGGCCCAGTTAAGGCCTTTTGAAAGCCTGAAAATATTTAGCGAAATGAATAAATAAATACTAAAAAGGTCGTTACAGTTTGTTTCGTAGTGTTTGATGAAAATTAACAACTCAAACAGGCAGAACTTTGATGTTTAATAGAGTGTTGTTGATGTTGCTGCTGCTTTCGCCTGTTGTTATTGTTACCGACAACTTACAGCAATGATAACGACAATATTAACACCTACTCGTACACCAAACTCACACACATTTATTAACAGTAAAAAACATATTTGCTCACAGATACACTTTGCTTTTAAAATAGGCGGAGACAGACAGGATATTAGACATTCACTCACTAACACAACCTAATAAAGAATATAAATTGAAATTTAACTAATTGCTTTAATGAAAAACTAACACACAAAACTGTGCTTTCAAATTGGCAAAATTTTAAAATTTCAATTTAATTTTGTATGTATGTAGGTGTAGAGTTATAAGTGTGTACTTTTTGGAGAAGAAATTCTTGGAAGCTTGTTAAATGGAAAATTTAAATGTTTGAAATTTTGCATATTCGTACACACTACAATATTGCTGTTGTATTATTTAAGTACTTAAACTCAACAAACAAAAAACCAAATAAGTATAATATATTCTATGAATTTTTCACATACATAACGTTTATAACCAAAATTAGGGCCTATTACTACCTAGTAGCCAGTAATGTTTTCATAACGAAAACAAAACCCTTCCACGGCAAATTGATTTGCTGAAATTAAAAAAAATGTCGTAGTTCAAACACTGAAACTTGTTAATATCAAAAAATTCCAACTTTAAATTAAAATTTATCTTAGAGTAAATATCGTAAACTTTAATGCATTTGCCGCGGAAAATTTTTTAACGCTCGGGAAAAAGTGATATACATACATTTTCATCTTACTTATTTATACTCTATGTGGAAAGTTGCAATTTTCAAAAATTTTATAAAAGTTATCACCCTATTATAAATATATACATACATTAGAATCTTCCATGTAGAATACCTCTCAATCAATGAGAATAAATGTACTGAAATTTGTTTCTTCTTTAGAATGGTTCTGTTTCCTACCACATATAGAAATTCCTTACCTCAGCATAATTTGTAAAAAAAATTATCTCCAACTTTTTTGAAATGGCCTCAAAAATATAATTTTGAGAAAAATTTATTAAATTTTTTTATTGTATTTTGGTCCACAAATGATTTTTAGTGGGTTTGAGACCAGTTCTAGTTCAGTTCTAGTTCAGTTCTAGTTCAGTTCTAGTTCAGTTCTAGTTCCGTTCTAGTTCAGTTCTAGTTCAGTTCTAGTTCTGTTCTAGTTCAGCTCTAGTTCTAGTTCAGTTCTAGTTCAGTTCTAGTTAAGTTCCAGTTCAGTTCTAGTTTAGTTCTAGTTCAGTTCTAGTTCAAGTTCAGTTCTAGTTCATTTCTAGTTCAGTTCTAGTTCAGTTCTAGTTCAGTTCTAGTTCAGTTCTAGTTCAGTTCTAGTTTAGTTCTAGTTCAGTTCTAGTTCAGTTCTAGTTCTAGTTCAGTTCTAGTTCAGTTCTAGTTAAGTTCCAGTTCAGTTCTAGTTTAGTTCTAGTTCAGTTCTAGTTCAAGTTCAGTTCTAGTTCATTTCTAGTTCAGTTCTAGTTCAGTTCTAGTTCAGTTCTAGTTCAGTTCTAGTTCAGTTCTAGTTTAGTTCTAGTTCAGTTCTAGTTCAGTTCTAGTTCAGTTCTAGTTCAGTTCTAGTTCAGTTCTAGTTCAGTTCTAGTTCAGTTCTAGTTCAGTTCTAGTTCAGTTCTAGTTCAGTTCTAGTTCAGTTCTAGTTCAGTTCTAGTTCAGTTCTAGTTCTGTTCTAGCTCAAGTTCTAGTTAAGTTCTAGAATTGAAAAAAAAAAAAAACATATGTTTGTAAATTATTCTTATTGGAGACACAAGTATACAGTCACGGGAACTAAAATATCAAAATTTGGAAAATTAGTGGGTGACTTTTTTATAGACATTTTCGGAATCAGTCCACCAAATATTACTACAATTAGCCCTTTCCGTGGTTTTGTCGAATATATTCGACATTACAATAGATCCTACACCACTTTAGTGGGGAGGGTATATTGGATTTGTGCTGATGTTTGTAACATACAAAAATATTCGTCCTAGACACCTTAAAGTATACCAATCGGCTTAGAATCGTTTTCTGAGTCGATTAAGCTATGTCCGTCCGTCCGTCCGTCTGGCTGGCTGGCTGGCTGTCCATGTAAACCTTGTGCGCAAGCTACAGGTATCAATTTTCAAGATAATTGGATGAAATTTGGCACGCACGTTTTATTTGACCCAAGGACGAAGCCTGAAAATGGTTAAAATCGGTCCATTATTTCACCTAGCCCCCATAGAACAGAACCCCCCGAAAAGGGCTTCTGAGCTCATAATTATGTTAAATATACAGATATATCGATAAATTATGGCACAACTAAGTTTTATAGAAGTCTTGATAACCCTGCCAAATTTCATAAAGATCGGGCCCCATTTGACCCTAGCTCCCATACAAAGTCCCCTTCAGAAAATTACTTGAATGTCCCAAATTAACTTATAAACACAAATATCCCGATGAAATTCACCACAATGTAAATATAAATATATTCGCAAAATTTTATCGGGCTTGGTCCATATTTGCCCCTAGCCCCCATATAAAGCCTCTTTCAGAAAATTAGTTTTTCATCCATAAATTGCTTAAATGTATCGGAACAAGTGAATATTGATGATAAATGTTTTATTATGAAAAATAAATCACATTTAATATTCATAACTGGTGTAGGGTATCATATGGTCGGCCACGCCCGACTATACTTTCTTACTTGTATTTAACTTTAGTTTTAATTTTTTTCTTTTAGATGAAAATAAAGACTTTATTATATTTATAATTGAGATTTTGAAAGATCTTCCGTATTTTAAAAGTATTTAAAAATCAGATTTTAAGAAATTGTCACTTATGACTACTTTTTAAAAAGTGCTTTTTAACAACGTTTAAAAACAGCTTCATTTAATGGCCAAAAAATTGTATTTTAGGAGATCGGACTATGCAGACTTAAATTGTATTGTATTGAAAGAAGTTTAAGAAGACATTTTACAAAAAAATCATAAAAAATATTGGTGGTACTATTTGGAGACTGTTTTTCGAATGTCGAATATATTCGACATTTAACTTTGACCTTCTATAACTCACTAGGGAAAACTCAAATTCAAAAAATATTATTTTTCCCGGATTCAGCATACTCAAATTATATTAAATATAAGTTTTCAAGTTTTTTTCTAGGCATAAATTATTTTTGACCCTGAAAGGGTTAGTGAAAATTATTTAAAAACGTTATTTATCGTTGGCCTGTGCAATTCATATACTTAGATACATATGTTATGAAACCACCATCGTAATCTGATTGTCCAGATTTGTTTTCACGTTTTAGTTGCAAATTTTAACGGAAACATTCTTCGTCTGTATTTATAAAACAAATTCTATTATTGTTATTTTAGCACTTACCTTTCCCAAGAGAGACGTCTGGGAGCATCTTCACCACATGGTTGGGGGGCTGTTAATGCTGATGTTGTCGTTGTTGTATTAATCGTGTTTGTATCATACTGTGAATGATGCTGTTGCTGATAATATTGCTGCTGTTGGTGATGATGATGATGTTGTGACTTCGATAAGACACTACTGCTTGATTGATGTAGTAATTTAGCTAAACGTCGTGTTAATGCCGTATTCGTTGAGGTATTTGAGGATGTTGATGATGATGGTGCTCCACCTCCTGCTGATGTTGCTGCTGTCGATGATGTTGAGAAACCGGATGTTGTGAGATTATTGGCATCAGTATAGCCACTTCCACCACTGCTGCTACATACACTAAAACCAGGAATTTGACAACCACCATCTAAAGTGGGTGTATTATCACCGGAACAACGTGTATTGTTGTCTGAGGTTGATGTTGAAGAGCCACCACTGCCTCCGCCACCACCGCCGCCACTACCTCCACCAGAATTGCTAAAAATTGATTGTGTTCGTTTTTTTGACGCCAAGCGATAGGCACGTGCAGCCACAACATGCGGTGCGGGTATTCTAAAAGTCAAAAGTGAAGAAAAATGTTTAATAAAATTTTAAAATGTTACAGCTTCGGAAAAGGAGTAAATAGCAGAATTTAAGAATACAATTAAATAATTTCCTTAAATTTTACTTACCGCAACAGCACTGAACCATCAGCCGCATAGCATTCAAAATCATCTGTGCTGATATTCATGGTGCCTGCATAGGAGGGCATATTCGCATCGGGTGTTCCACTACCACACCCGGCCGGTGTTTGAGTCGTTGTATTACCGTGTGGTGTACTACCCGACGATTTTCTACGATACACCACTGTTCCATCATCTTTGGGCAAATTCAGGGATTTTATACTCAATGTATTATTGTTGTTGTTGAAACTGTTGTTATTGTTGTTGTTCCAGGCATTCGATTGGTGTGTTGTTGGTGTTGTCGTTGTTGTGTTTCGTGTTAGTATGGACCAACGATTGCTGCTGCCACTGCTTGTGGTTGATTTTGTTGCTGAGGAAGTGGCTAAAAATATTATTAGGAAAAAGTGAGTGGAAATAGTTGTAGTTTATTTAAAAAAAATTGGTTATCATTTTGTTGGAATCAGAACGAACTTTTGGTAGCGCATTCGATATTTAAGTTGAGCCTTGTTCAGTTCTAGTTCAGTTCAAGTTCAGTTGTGAACATTGCAACAATTCGCTGTCGAAATCTAAATTTTATACACATCCGTTGTTTAAATGTTAACAAACGTGGTAAGCTAACTATTGCCAACGGATTTTTTTGTCAATAGTGAGCTTACCACGTTTGTTAACATTTAGAAAACGGATGTGTATTAAATTTAGATTTCGACAACGATTGTTGGAATGTTGTCAACATTACATAGTGTTGCCGTACGTATGTATATAAAAATTATAAAAAGTTTGGTGTCAATTAGGTGCCAGGCGTGTATATTTTTTTCCCTCTGTGTAGTTCAGTTCTTGTCCTAGTTCAGTTCTAGTTAGTGCTGTTAAAGTATTGAGTAGTGGGTATCGAGTATCGAGTATTTGCCCTATTTTTTGGGTACTCAATACTAAAAAGTAGTTACTCAATACTTTCAGACTTGTATATGGATTTAACTTATTTAAATTTAACGGCTATGATGTGAAAAAATACAGCTCTAAAATCTAATATAGACCATATCATTATTAGAAATGCAACTCTTAGCAATATCAAATCAATGTAAAAATAATTTAAACACTGCAATAATAGTTAAACAGTTACAAATATTTATCGACGCTATCTAAAAAAATAAAATGTCTCAAAAGAGGTGTGATGTCTGGTCTAACTTTACTTAAAAAAAGGAAAAATTCCTCGTTTTTAATTTAAAATAAAACCGTTAAAAGTATCGAGTAGTATTGAGTACCCAAACGAAAAGTATTGAGTAGTATTGAGTAATCAAAAGTAGTAGAATATTACAGCACTAGTTCTAGTCCTAATTCAGTTCTAGTTTAGTTCTAGTTCAGTTCTAGTTCAGATCTAGTTAAGTTCTAGTTCAGTTCTAGTTCAGTTCTAGTTCAGTTCTAGTTCAGTTCTAGTTCAGTTCTAGTTCAGTTCTAGTTCAGTTCTAGTCCAGTTCTAGTTCAGTTCTAGTTCAGTTCAGTTCTAGTTCAGTTCTAGTTCAGTTCAGTTCTAGTTCAGTTCTAGTTCAGTTCTAGTTCAGTTCTAGTTCAGTTCTAGTTCAGTTCTAGTTCAGTTCTAGTTCAGTTCTAGTTCAGTTCTAGTTCAGTTCTAGTTCAGTTCTAGTTCAGTTCTAGTTCAGTTCTAGTTCAGTTCTAGTTCAGTTCTAGTTCAGTTCTAGTTCAGTTCTAGTTCAGTTCTAGTTCAGTTCTAGTTCAGTTCTAGTTCAGTTCTAGTTCAGTTCTAGTTCAGTTCTAGTTCAGTTCTAGTTCATTTCTAGTTCAGTTCTAGTTCAGTTCTTGTTCAGTTCTAGTTCAGATCAGTCAACATCAGGTCCACAATGTGGACTCCACATCGAATTCTTTTAAATTCTGTTAAGCTGGATCAGCAATTGACCCATTAAGTTACCAATTCAGAAAATAACAATACATACTACCGATATACAGTGGCGACCAAATCTGGATACTTGTTTCGCCAATAAAACTTAAAAATGCAATAAAACCCATAAAATAAAGGAAAAATAATTAAGTTTTCAATTTAAAATATTCAGTAAAACAATATAAAAAGAAAACAAAATTAAATTCATGATAATTAAATATTAATCTAAATATTAAAACATATTTATAAATAAAGTCGAAGTATCCAGTTTTGCACGTTTATAAAAATTGATTTTTAATATTTTGTGCAACGTCCTTTTGCTTTTATGACACTTTTTATACGTTTAGGCGTACTTTCGACCAAGGTCTCAATGGTCCGGTGCGGAATACTAGACCACTCCGTTTGTACTCTCGACCAAAGTTCTTTAAGATTTCTTGGTGCATTATCGAATTGCGCAAGACGTTTTTTAACAAAGCCCATAAATTTTCAATTGGATTGATTTCCGGGCATTGAGTTGGCCATTGCATCGTTTGAAAATTCTGCGCTGAAAGCCAATTTTTTACGATTTTTGACGTATGCTTCGGATCCCCATCCTGTTGGAGTATAACCTCTGATTCTGTATATGTACATTCTTCCACAAAATCTGGAATATTGGATTGAAAATGCTCAAATAATCATCCTTTTTCATTATAGCATCTAATTTTACTAAAGAACCGAGATTCTACCAAGTGAAACAACGATCGACTTTTTTTTAACATCTGTTGTGCTTATATTTTTTCTTTTTCGCATTGTTCGGTGGCAAATTCCTAACATTTGGCAATTTGAAGAGCAGAGTGATTATTTTTTGTCATTCGACAATTTGGTTTTCTAATAAACTTGATATTTTTGTCATTTAAACTTGAAAATTAAAATCTTTGCAAAAAATTAAGAATTTGACACAAAAGTGGTAACTGTTCGTTTTGATGCTTTCTTCAAAGCAAATCAAGTAGCACTACTCAAATTCATTATTATTTTTAAATTTATTTGTGTGGCAAGATTAATTAAATTTAAACGTTCAAAAGTGGATACATTGAATTTTTTAATAAAATTTGCTAGAACTTGAGATAAAGTTTATTTTAAAAGAAATATCTAATCTTTTTTTAATATTTTCTGGATTTTATTGGGTTTTTAACATAAACTTGATTGATATGTATCCAGTTTTGCTCGCCACTGTATGTATGATAATACATGGCAGCATAAAGGTAATACATGAGTAATTCCCTGTAGTAAATAACACGGTGTGACAAAATTACAAAAACTCAATACACTCATCGCGGGACCTAGTGAAGTTGGTAGGTCTAGTAGAGTAGATTACAGTACCAGTTTTAGAATCTTCAATATACCCTAAAAATCGGAAGATATTGGAAAAAAACGCTTGTTGTTGACTAGACAGACCAAAAAAATTATATCTCAAAATTTTCTTAACCGATTTAATATTTTTCAACGGTTTTGAAAAGAGTTTCCCTTGTCCTTTTTAAGAAGTATACACACTTTTATATTTTTTACGGAAATGTGTATAATATTTAGATCTGAATACAAATTTGTATATATTTTTTTAATTTTTTTAGAAAGATCATTTTTGACCCACACTTAATTTGAAAATATATTTTTTAAATATTTTTTTATTTTAGCCCATATTTCTATGAATAAAATAAGATATGAAACTTTGAAATCAGATAAAAACTGACAGAAATAGAATTTTTTTCGTAAAATCAAAAATTTACCAAATCTCTCATTTCTAAAGCAAATTATCAATTTGAATAAAAAAGCTTATATCTGTGTTGCATATCTTAAGTTGATATTTTACTTCAGGAAAGAGAGATTTGGTAAATTATTGGTTTTACGAAAAAAATTATATTTCAGTCAGTTTTTATCTGATTTCAACGTTTCATATCTTATTTTATTCATAGAAATATGGGCTAAAATAAAAAAATAATAAAAAAATAATTTTTCAAATAAAGTGTGGGTCAAAAATGATCTTTAATTTTAAAAAAATGAAAAAAATATATAAAAATTTGTATTCAGATCTAAATTTTTTACATTTACGTAAACAATATAAAAGCGTGTATACTTTTTAAAAAGGACAAGGGAAACTCTTTTCAAAACCGTTGAAAAATATTAAATCGGTTAAGAAAATTTTGAGATATAATTTTTTTGGTCTGTCTAGTCAACAAAAAGCGTTTTTTCCAATATCTTCCGATTTTTAGGGTATATTGAAGATTCTAGAAATGGTAAAATGATCTACTCATCTAGGTCTATAAAAAGCATTATATCGCGTAACGAGTGTTTTTTAGTGTCACCCAGTGTAATAATGAATTTATTCATAAAAGATTCAGTAAATAACATTCTTATTTGTTTTTGGCTTAATTCTTTTGTTGTTTTTTTGTTATTCCAAATTTTGTGAATTTTGTACTTAATTGCCAAAGTATATTTACCACATCATAAAAGTTTATTTTCCATTTTTTGTATTATAAAATTAAAACTTTTATTTTGTGGTTTGGTGGAACAAAATTTATAACATGATAAAATTTTTGTGTTTCTAATTTGCGACATAATAAATACATGCATAACACTAGTCATGTTCGCATTTCATTCGTTGTAATTTTGCAGTATTTTAGTAAAGATAAAATTAGCTTCTACCCATCAAAACTTATTCACTATCGGACCAGCAGGTTAGGAATGCCAGATTTATTTCCAAAAATTTTGATTTTACACTTAGCTCCAATATTATATACTAGATAAGTTAAGTTTTCGCTGGGTTAATTTCTGACATTTAATAGATTAGAATGAACTTGGCTAAAACTATAGTAAATACAGTTTAAATTTCGTAAAAAAAAATATTTTTAATTCTTTCGGAATTGACAAACTAGATTAATAAATTGTTTGAATTTTAATTTAAAATATAAAATAAACATGAAAATAGTGATGAATAAAAATTTTAGATTTTTTTTTACAATTTTAATTTAAATTTTTAAAATCATGTTGCAAACAGAAGCACGATGTAACAACTTGCACACATGATGTAACTGAATAATAATATTAAGAAAACATTTTTTGATACGATCTACCCCATATGCTAGAACACATGTTGCAAAATCTAGTACAAACTACATGTAATCAAATTAAACAAGTTGTACAAGAGTCATTTTAATTAAACGGCAAAATCTGCTGTATAAGGATGTGCAAATTTTCAACACTTGGAAAAAACACACACTCACACATCTGAACACTCATTTACATCTATTAAAGGAATAATAACGCGACGAAAAATGCACAAGACGAAATGTAATTAAACGTTAGAATGAAACCCCAAAATGTCTTGTTCCTTTGGTTTGCATGTGACATTATAAAAACCATTATGAAAAATTACACTGACACTTTAAAGGATTTAAACGACTTCCGTTTAACTTTAGTGTGTGTGTTCCTGTGGTTTTAAGGTTGCGATGATATTGCTGAATGCATGAAAATAATATTAAAAGCAAGAGTTTAAGGATTTGTGAATGGCAAAAAAGTGTAATAACAAAAACGGTATTTCTTCTTAATATTTCTAACAAAGCCAAAATTTGCTAACATACTGTTTGTAGTGTAATAAATTTTATAATCACCCGTTCCCGTTTTATTGCAACTTTTCAAAAATAACTAGAAAATGTGTGCTTATTAAACTATTCAGAAATAATGAGGCTATCGAAGACAGAAGAATATTAACGGCCTTTAACTCAGTTCTAGTTCATTTCTCTTTTAGTTCTAGTTCTAGTTCAGTTCTAGTTCAGTTCTAGTTCAGTTCTAGTTCAGTTCTAGTTCAGTTCTAGTTCAGTTCTAGTTTAGTTCTAGTTCAGTTCTAGTTCAGTTCTAGTTTAGTTCTAGTTCAGTTCTAGTTGAGTTCTAGTTCAGTTCTAGTTCAGTTCTAGTTCAGTTCTAGTACAGTTCTAGTTCAATTCTAGTTCAGTTCTAGTTCAGTTCTAGTTTAGTTCTAGTTCAGTTCTAGTTCAGTTCTAGTTCAGTTCTAGTTCAGTTCTAGTTCAGTTCTAGTTCAGTTCTAGTTCAGTTCTAGTTCAGTTCTAGTTCAGTTCTAGTTCAGTTCTAGTTCAGTTCTAGTTCAGTTCTAGTTCAGTTCTAGTTCAGTTCTAGTTCAGTTCTAGTTCAGTTCTAGTTCAGTTCTAGTTCAGTTCTAGTTCAGTTCTAGTTCAGTTCTAGTTCAGTTCTAGTTCAGTTCTAGTTCAGTTCTAGTTCAGTTCTAGTTCAGTTCTAGTTCAGTTCTAGTTCAGTTCTAGTTCAGTTCTAGTTCAGTTCTAGTTCAGTTCTAGTTCAGTTCAGTTCTAGTTCTAGTTCTAGTTCAGTTCAGTTCAGTTCAGTTCAGTTCTAGTTCAGTTCTAGTTCAGTTCTAGTTCAGTTCTAGTTCAGTTCTAGTTCAGTTCTAGTTCAGTTCTAGTTCAGTTCTAGTTCAGTTCTAGTTCAGTTCTAGTTCAGTTCTAGTTCAGTTCTAGTTCAGTTCTAGTTCAGTTCTAGTTCAGTTCTAGTTCAGTTCTAGTTCAGTTCTAGTTCAGTTCTAGTTCAGTTCTAGTTCAGTTCTAGTTCAGTTCTAGTTCAGTTCTAGTTCAGTTCTAGTTCAGTTCTAGTTCAGTTCTAGTTCAGTTCTAGTTCAGTTCTAGTTCAGTTCTAGTTCAGTTCTAGTTCAGTTCTAGTTCAGTTCTAGTTCAGTTCTAGTTCAGTTCTAGTTCAGTTCTAGTTCAGTTCTAGTTCAGTTCTAGTTCAGTTCTAGTTCAGTTCTAGTTCAGTTCTAGTTTAGTTCTAGTTCAGTTCTAGTTCAGTTCTAGTTCTAGTTCTAGTTCAGTTCTAGTTCAGTTCTAGTTCAGTTCTAGTTCAGTTCTAGTTCAGTTCTAGTTCAGTTCTAGTTCAGTTCTAGTTCAGTTCTAGTTCAGTTCTAGTTCAGTTCTAGTTCAGTTCTAGTTCAGTTCTAGTTCAGTTCTAGTTCAGTTCTAGTTCAGTTCTAGTTCAGTTCTAGTTCAGTCTAGTTCAGTTCTAGTTCAGTTCTAGTTCAGTTCTAGTTCAGTTCTAGTTCAGTTCAGTTCTAGTTCTAGTTCAGTTCTAGTTCAGTTCAGTAGTTCAGTTCAGTTCTAGTTCAGTTCTAGTTCAGTTCTAGTTCAGTTCTAGTTCAGTTCTAGTTCAGTTTCTAGTTCAGTTCTAGTTCAGTTCTAGTTCAGTTCTAGTTCAGTTCTAGTTCAGTTCTAGTTCAGTTCTAGTTCAGTTCTAGTTCAGTTCTAGTTCATCTAGTTCAGTTCTAGTTCAGTTCTAGTTCAGTTCTAGTTCAGTTCTAGTTCAGTTCTAGTTCAGTTCTAGTTCAGTTCTAGTTCATTTCAGTTCTAGTTCAGTTCTAGTTCAGTTCTAGTTCAGTTCTAGTTCTAGTTCAGTTTAGTTCAGTTCTAGTTCAGTTCTAGTTCAGTTCTAGTTCAGTTCTAGTTCAGTTCTAGTTCAGTTCTAGTTCAGTTTTAGTTTAGTTCTAGTTCTAGTTCAGTTCTAGTTCTAGTTCAGTTCTAGTTCAGTTCTAGTTCAGTTCTAGTTCAGTTCTAGTTCAGTTCTAGTTCAGTTCTAGTTCAGTTCTAGTTCAATTCTAGTTCAGTTCTAGTTCAGTTCTAGTTCAGTTCTAGTTCAGTTCTAGTTCAGTTCTAGTTCAGTTCTTGTTCAGTTCTAGTTCAGTTCTAGATCAGTTCTAGTTCAGTTCTAGTTCAGTTCTAGTTCAGTTCTAGTTCAGTTCTAGTTCAGTTCTAGTTCAGTTCTAGTTCAGTTCTAGTTCAGTTCTAGTTCAGTTCTAATTCAGTTTTAGTTCAGTTCGAGTTCAATTCTATTTCAGTTCTAGTTCTCTTTTCTGACGTTAAAAATTAATAAAAAGAATCAAAAAGTTTCAATCGAAGGATGTTACTATTGTTGGACAGAATAAAAAAAAATAACATAAAATATTTTGCAGCTTTTCTTGTTTCTTTGAAATTTGGCATTGTTTGATCAGTAGAAGTATTTTAAAATATTTTTGGCAAAATGCAGTTTTTAAAACTTTGAAGTCCTTCAAAAGTATACAGGATCACGAAATGAAAAACTAAAAAACGCAGTTTTTCTCCATTAAATTTATATTTTCAGACGTAAGTATATCATCCGTTTCGTGTCTAATTTGTTGTTATATAGCAAGACATATGCAGGTATGTACATTAGAGTGTCCCAAGAGCAGCCTTTATAAGAATTGTATATAGGAATACCTCTCAATCGATGCGTATTAAAGTACTGAATACGAGAAAAATAAAAAATATATTTTTTTCTAATGGTCCTCAGATCCCTACCAGCGATTGAAAATCCTGACCTCAGTATAATTTTTGAAAAATAAAATATCCTCAATTTTTGGGTCTCAAAAATTCCGTAATTTTGAGCTGATTAAGGGAAAAATAATATTAAAATTTTTGTAGAGTGTTTTTGGTCCTTAAAATGATAAAAGTTATCGCCCTAATGTGCATACATATGTACATATTTCACAGATTGAAAAATGGCTTAAAAGTTTTGTACATACATATAAAACTAAAATCTATGGTTGAAAACTTTTTTCGGTCATTATTTAAATTTAAGTTAGTCCTAAAATTTCAGCTAGAAGGATTTTTGGTGTTACCTCCAATTGTAGTTTTATTTTTTGCAAAAACAAGATATTTTTTTTAAGTTTTTAAAACAACAATTTTCAATTCCACAGAGTTTTTATTTTGTTATTTTCTAATTGTCTAAATAAATTTACTTACCCCATTGAAATGGTGATTTATCGGTATGCAGCGATACGACTGGTATACCAGGAACTATTATTGCAGGTAGTGTACGTGAACGTAAGAGAGGCGGTGGTACTTTACCACGATTTGTGCGACCAGCTTGATTATTGATTGATGCATTTAATGCTTGAGCTCTGGAAAATGTAAAGAAAAAAAGGGACAAATATTTAGATGATTTTTTTTTGTTAATTTCGCTTTAAAAATAGATGACAGAAATGAAACAGTTTTTTTTTTAAGTAAACTCGTCAAACTTGATTTTATTATAAACATTTATAGTTTATATCATAAGAGAGTCAATTTACTTTTTATTAGTTGATTTTTTAAATTTATTACCACTTAAAGGTTTTGTAAATGTTATGATTATTTTTATGGTTTAATAGTATGAAACCAATAACTGCTTTCTAGATTAAACCAAATTACTATTTAAGATTTATGGCATAAATAGTAATGACATCTGTTTTATTTCACAATTTCATAGATTTAATTAGTATATTGAACTTGAAATAAGAAGATAAAGTTTATATATATATACTTAATATTTCAAGATTTTTTTATACCCTTTAAAAAAGATGACCGGAATAATAATGTTGTTGTTTATGGATGAATATATTAAAATATTGTCGTTTAAATCGTCTATCTGTCAGTTAGTCAGCCACTAAGTAGCAACATTTATAGTAATAATGCAAAAAACCACGCTATACTATAAATTCGTAAATTAGATTATGATACAATAAGACTATCTTATAGACTTGACTCTAGACTATACTATAGACTAAACTAAAGACTAGACTATAGAATAGACTATTGACTAGACTATAGTCTAGACTAAAGACTAGACTATAGACTAGACTATAGACTAGACTATAGACTAGACTATAGACTAGACTAGACTATAGACTAGACTAGACTATAGACTAGACTATAGACTAGACTATAGACTAGACTATAGACTAGACTATAGACTAGACTATAGACTAGACTATAGACTAGACTATAGACTAGACTATAGACTAGACTATAGACTAGACTATCGACTAGACGATAGACTAGACTATAGACTAGACTATAGACTAGACTATAGACTAGACTATAGACAAGACTATAGACTAGACTATAGACTAGATTATAGACTAGACTATAACTAGACTATAGACTAGACTATAGTACTAGACTATAGACTAGACTACTAGACTATAGACTAGACTATAGACTAGACTATAGACTAGACTATAGACTAGACTATAGACTAGACTATAGACTAGACTATAGACTAGACTATAGACTATAGACTAGACTATAGACTAGACTATAGACTAGACTATAGACTAGACTATAGACTAGACTATAGACTAGACTATAGACTAGACTATAGACTAGACTATAGACTAGGATATAGACTAGATTATTAACTACACTATAGACTAGACTAGACTAGACTAGACTAGACTAAAGAATAGATTATACACTAGATTATGTTCTATAGATTAAATTATAGATTAGACTATAGGCTATACTTAACTAGACCAGACATAACTACACTAGACTTAACTAGACTAGAATATAGGATAGACTATAGACTAGACTACAGACTAGACTTTAAACAAAACTATATACTAAACAATTTAGGCTTTTGTTTATAGACTATATAATAACAATATAGGCTATAAACTAGGCTATAGACTAGATCATAGACTACACTATAGATTAGGCTATAGGTCTAGACTCTTGAGATATTAAATATAACCTAGACTATGAAATAGTCTATTACCTAAACTATGAATCAGTTTATATGCTAAGCAAAAAACTCCTTCGCGACGGGTAGTCATCTTGACGCGATGCGAAGGCTTATGTGTGATGGCCCATGCAGACCGTGCTGGTAGGGCTACCCATACCAGAGGGGCTCATGATAAGCACATGTTAATAACTACCCCTCCCACGACTGGTAGCGTCTGTTTCTCCCCGATGGGGCGGCTACCAGTCCAAGCACTTGTCAAAAGAACTCTACTCATCCTTCGGATGTGTATCTTTTGACAGTAAAGTCCGTTCGGGTTCTTTAGATCCCTAAACTCCACGACGGTCCGTCTAAATCCACCAGCGTCTGTTCCCACATTGGGCGGCTTGGTGGTCTGCAAGCATATCATATGCAGAATCATATACTTGGCAGCAAGTATAAAATGCACACCGTTTTAATGTCCAAAGTCCGACAAGAAACCGTGCCCCGCGTATCCGGTAAGGGGCCTAATAATCTCCGGAGACCCTACCCCCACGGCGAAGGCGACAGGCTGTGGAGAGTCGAGTGCTACTGCCTGGATCCTGCAGTCGCAAAACAATATCAGCATCTGGCTCCAAAGCTGGATGCAGCAAAATAAGCAGCGAGATACCTCTGGACGTCACCCCAAGTACCTCAAAAGCAGATCAGGTCCGTATTGGCAAAATGCCCCTGTTTCGGGGACTACCAAGGCCACCAGAGCCAAGATAGCAACCCCAGTGCCGGTTATGCACGAGGGAACTGCGAACAAGACACGTAACACCAACAAGAAGGGCCTTAATACAACGGCGCTCCGCCGCCAAAATTCTAGCGCGCTTAGCTGGCAAACCAGTTGAGTCGCTAAGTAAAGAGGACAAGTCCTCTCTAAAATGGGCTAAGGGAAAATTGGACGTTCTGGAGAAGAGTCTCCCCCCTCACGTCTAAAGACGCGCCTAAACGGCAAAGTTCTGAGGAGGAGGCTAATCTTCAGGGCCAGCAGCCCGGGACAAAACGTCCGAAACCGTTGCCCCCAAGCCGCATGACAAGTGGTTGAGAACCTCCATCTAGATGCGAAAAAAGCTGATGTGGGTGTTCTGGGAAGTTCTTAAACAGAACCCTGGTCGCCCCCCCACAGTGTATGGACGGCGGTTGGTTTCACAACAGAGTGAAGCTAATGGCCTGTTCTAACGAGCGCTCAGCTTTGCTCCTGAAGCAGGCTGTGTCTCTGTGAACTAGATCTCACGAAGGCCTAGATCCACCGCAATAATTCCTGCGGAACCACATAAAAAGGCAGCGATACTGGAACTTCTACAGGTTGGCAATCCAGATCTTCCAACTCAAGATCCGGATGGTCGTCAGGGTTTCTCAACCTGTAGGAAGCTCCAGAAGGATTGTTGTGAACCTAAACCAAGAGTCGCGGCTTCAAGTCGATCTTCCTTCGTGTCTACCGACTATTGGAACAGGATGATCCCGATCCTGACCAATCCGCTGCGGATATGTCTTGCGACGAGACTGACCTTTCGCTGAGTCAATCAACTTCTAAGTTGGTTAAGGAGGGTGAAGAGTCAGTTGACGAGGACGATCTCCTTGCCTCTGATAAGGAGGACGCCAGCACAGTGTTGCGAAAAGACAGAAAAGACAAAAAAGGAGATGGTGAGAGTAACCCAAATTAATCTCCACCACTCCAAAGCAGCCTCGACTGCACTGCTCCTCCGAATGGTTGTAAGTGGGGAGGAGCACGCCCTAGTCCAGGAACCCTGGATTCACCAAGAAAGGGTGAGTGGACTAGGCATGAAAAGCTTTAAGCTTTTGTACGCAAAAGGATCTAGTACGGTTCGATCCTGTATAGTAGCCAAAAGCAGTCTCAACATCTTCATTCTTTCTGATTTCAGTGATGAAGACACCGTAGCAGCCATATGGGAGACCAGTGTAGGTGCTATATTGGTTATCTCGGCGTACATGGCTCACGACCACAGCGACCAGTCACCGAACAATCTGGTCTGCAGATCCATAGAGATGGTAAACTCGAAAAGCATGCCGATCATCATGGGGGCTGATGCCAATGCCCATCACACTGTCTGGGGTAGCTCGGACATGAACGCTAGAGGTGAGTCAATTTTTAACTTCATTCTAAGCAATAATCTTGATATTCTAAATTCAGGATCCGAACCGACCTTTATTATTTCAAACAGAAGGGAAGTTCTGTTTGAAACAATAAAGGAGATGATGGAGAGCCTCAAGTGACTGCTCTTTCTCTGACCATCAGTACATCGATTTTGAAATCGTAGTTGACAAAGTGGCCCCAAAGCCCTTTACAAACAGGAGACGAACAGATTGGGAAATGCAAATGGGGCTAATCTCACGTTCACTTCAGGATGTACCGATCATCGAGAACCGATCGGACATAGAAAACGCGGTTGAAACCATAAATCAAGCTTTCAAACACGCGACTTCACTGTCTTGCAAACAGAACATGCCTACATGAAGGGAAAATCTTTTGAGACTGCACTACACTCGCTAATTTGTCATATTGAAAAGACAATAGCGCAAGGGGAATATATACTTGTTGCCTTCTTGGACATCAAGGGGGCATTCAACAATGTTCACCCTGGGTCGATAACAACGGCCCTAACTGGTCTGGGTATAAACCAACCAATAACAGCTTTCATCAGGAGATTACTGACTCAACGGATCATTATCTCCGAAATGGGAGCAGCAAATGTCACAAAAGTGGCAAATCGCGTTACCCCACAAGGTGGAGTTCTATCTCCACTTCTGTGGAACCTAGCGTTGAACCCACTTTTTATGGATCTTAGATCTATTTGATTTAAGGTAATAGCGTATGCAGACGATGTGTCTGTAGTAGTATCTGGCAAATATCTGGATACTTTATCGCAAAGGATGGAGATTGCACTCAAGACACTCAGCGCGTGGAGCAACGTCAGTGGCCTTGGTGTAAATCCATCGAAAACGGAACTTGTTCTCTTCACTAAGAAGTACAAGATACCCACCTTCACTCTCCCACGACTGAATGGGATAGAATTGAAGTTATCGGATAGTGCTAAATATCTGGGAGTAATCCTAGATTCAAAACTATCATGGCGTTTGAACACTCAATCTATAGTGTCAAAAGCGGCTGCGGCCTTATACTCGTGTAAGAGAGAAATTGGCAAATCATGGGGCATAAACCCCAAGACAGAGCTTCGAATTAATCAATTCAATTTGAGCTTAATTCACCAAAATCTTAATTCAGAAATATAAAGTTTAATCTTCCAATCCTTTTTTTAATTCTCAGGAATTAATTCAATAGCTTAATTCAAAGGCTTTCAGTTTATTTTAATTAATTCATATACTGAATTCATTCATGTTTGAATTACATTATACTTTGAATGATTCAATTTTTCTTTGATTCAAATCTACTCCAAATTGAATTACGAAAATTTTCTTGAATTCATTTTGTAGTAGACTGAATGAAAACATTTTCGTTTGCTGCCAGAGTGTTGTATCTCAAAAACTAAAATTTCTACTTAAAAGGTTTATAATTTTTTAAGTTTTGTATCTCTATATAAAAGAGTTTATGCGTATAAGTTTTAAATAACCTATTTTACAGTTGATATTTGTAAGTTTGTATAATAAGAATGATAATTCCGACTAATAATAAACTCAAGTTGAGGGCACAAAAAAATTTTTCTATTTTTTATTTATAACACTATTGCTGCAAATAAAAATACATAATATTTATGTACAATATAGAAACCAAAGTATAACAAGTAGTCCGACTCTCACGTACACGAAATTCCACCTCCACATTTACGGGTGCTGTGTGAATTCAACACCTTGGTGAGAAATATTATTGTGTCAAAATACTTCAAATCTCTACTTATATTTTCGAATTAATAGCGGGTTCTACGCGAAATTTCACCTATCCACATAAAAAGTAAAATTTTTTAAAATACTTTTACGAAATTTTTTCTTTAAAATTCCGTTTATTTTGAGCAAACTGAAAATTTTATTTATTATTGACATTTATTTTTTGTTGTGGTAGAATTTTAATTTAGAAGCAGAGTTACATTTTTTTGTATTGAAAATTCAAACAAATAAAATTTTATGAATTTTTATAAAACTCTGTATGTCTGGTGAAAATTTTAAATGCTCAAATACATGTACATTTTTGTTACTAATACATATATAGAGTTAGGTACTTTTTCACTAACACATGCTTAGAGTTAGGTACTGCTGTCAAAGAGTCGGACTACTTGTTATACTTTGATAGAAACAAACATACATAGTATGTGACCATAAGTTTATGATCATAAAACATAACAAGTCCGTTGAAGTTTGTTTAGATCAGAATCGGTCCCTAACGCAAAAGAATCAACCACGAAAAGCCTTTTTGGTGATAGGTTTTCCTTCTGAATAATGTACTTTTTAACTTAGAGGGACTCTTATTAATCATAGTATTTAAGTATTTTATTGCATTAAGATTCATACGCTTAACAGAATTCCATTCATTCCATTCATATCCAATACATAGTACATTTGAAAATTTAAATTACAAAAAAATAAATTATAATTTATTTGACAAATATAAATCATGTGTATATTAGGAATGTTCAAATAAATGTTTAATTTGAAAATAGTTCTTAACCTTTCTTGTTCGCTTTTGCCTAGGAACCACATAATTTTTATCACCGATGGATTCATCAGATGAAAATTCTAATTCACTCATGATAGCAACTATTTCGGAAAAATAATTTCTAATTTGAGAAATAATTTGAAATTTAAAATTTATTTCAAATTTGAAATATTTATAATTCTGTTTATACGTGTACGTACGTATATGTTCAAACTTTTTTCGAATGGAAATTATATTTCGAAAATATTATTAAAAGACACACAAAAATAACGTTTACAAAACATCATAAATAATATGTTTCGAGTAAGATTTGTCATTTATGTAAATTTAAATATGGGCTATATTTATTTTAGTTTAAAATCATCTATAATATAGTGTTTGTTTTTTGTTTAATCACATTTAATTAGCTGAAATTATAATAGAAAATTGTATTTGTAAAACACTAAATAAAATTTCTAAAAACAAAAGACCCAATAATGTATATACATTTTATTTAAAAAATTTTCATTATTCCCCTACAAAATGAATGAAGAAAAACGATTAAAGCTATTTTGTAATAGATTTGAATTCGAAAAAATTTAAATCATTCAGCAAGGAATTAAGCCTTTAAAGAATGAATTATACAAATAATGAATTCAACATTTTTAAAGTCCTAAGGAATTCAGCTTATGAATTAATTCAAATGAATGATTTTATAGAATGGTGAAGTAATAAATTTTAATTTGATTTAAAAAAATGAATTAAGGCTTAACAATTTTAAACCTTTGCCCCAAGAATACCAAATGGCTCTTCAACATGGTAGTCAAGCCCATACTATTGTACGGTGGGTGCACTTGTATGGTGGAAGTCTGTACAAAAGGACTCACACCGTAAAAGTTTTAAGGGGCCTCCGCACCACCCCATCAAAGGCTCTCTTTGTATTGATCTAATGGCCCAAGAGGTTGCTCTCAACGCGGCTATTAGACTCAATGATTCAGTCAGGTCACTCTACCATTCTCAATTGTCTAGGAGAGATTCCTGACAATATCGACTATTGCATCGCCAAACCGTCTTTTGATAGAAGCTTTTCAATGAATATCCAACACGATCCAAATGTGATGAAAACAATCCTCCATGACGGATCGTATAAGGTTTTCACTGATGGCTCAAAATCAAACCATTATTATTGGATTCCAGGACATCAACAAATTCCTGGTAATACCTTCGCGGACTCTCTTGCCAAGTTACGTTCCTCGCTAGCAATAGAGCATACCGACCCTTTTGTCGGTATACCGCTTTCAACCTGCAAACGCTCGATACGTGAAAAACTATATAAGCTTGCGCAATGCAGATGGTTGACTGAAGCCACCTGTAGACAGGCAAGGATCATGTGGCCATCTTACAACCCAAAAAGATCTCAGGTCCTTTTCTACATTCCGAGAGTTAATCTACGGAACTTAATGGCAGTGGTAACTGGCCACTGGCCTTTCGGACTCCATGCAAGAAGACTGAACTTACCCAGTAACGACTTCTGCTGGAGCTGCCAGGATGAAGAGGAAGAAGAGAGTATAACTCACTTCCTCTGTCATTGTCCCGCCCTAGCTGATCACAGAATGGGCCTGCTAGGTAGCTATTTTGTGCATGACTTAGCGGATCTATCGGAGGTTAATATTCGAAAGATAGATTCCTATATTCGTGCGACAAACTGGTTCGGTGTTGGAAACCAGAGTGATTAGGTCGAAGTGTACTAATACGCCGACCGTTTTCTCTCGTTTCAGGTATCACAAAGGGATCAAAATACTGGACCCAAGTGTGTACCCAGTGATGACATCGCGAGGACGACCTGCCTACCTAACCTAACCTAGGCAAAAAACTAGAATTTGAAATAGTCTGTAAACTAGACTATGAAACTGTCTACAGACGTGACTATGATTAGTTAGTTTGTTGTTCACCTGTTACTTTTTTATTCGTTTGCTATTTCGTTAAATATTATTCGAACACAGTAATCTATACAAAACATTGCTGTTTGTTCAGTTGTCTTTAATATAGCATTTCCGTTCTTAGAACATATTTGTTTAATTATAGCCAATTTACTTCGAAGTCATTTATTTTCTCACTGCAAATTCCTTAAATATCCCAAAAACAGAGGAATATGTATTAAACTAATCTCCAATGATTATTTACACAATTACTTATTTATTTTGCTAGCTGGCAACAAAACACAATCATTTTGATTAATCGATTACAATCCAACTTTAATCGTTAAAGTTTAAAATTAATTTCTATTTTATTTCGTAACTGTTCAAAAATAAATTATCTTCCTTATAAATACGAAAAGGACAAAACAGACGACAACAAAAAGTTTTTCTGTGTGTTTTGGAATAAATAAAAATAAACTTTTACCATAGGATAGAGAAAATTTCTAAAAAGAAGTTGAAATATTTAATTTGAGAAATTTTCCGCTTAAATAATTTTAACAATTGAAGGAAACCCCTTCCTAGAATGAAATTTAATGCTATACACACAAATACATACATAAATATTGGTATATAAAACCACTTTTTTTTTGGTTGTGTTGTTTTAGTACATTAGGGAAAGATACTTTATTTCGGATACACAGATAAACTTTGATTAATACTTAGTCAAGGAGACCATTTAATAAAGCAAGGATGAATTTTATTTTATGTCAGCATAGCAATGGTTAACAATAATCAATTCGGAACGATATTACTTTTTACATCGGGAACCGTATGAACTTTTATCTCAAGAGTTAAAATTTTGTCTTTGAAACTTTTCTTAATGTTTCCAACGAATTCTAAAATCTATAATGACTTGTAGCAAAAGGGTTTTACTATTGTATTAAGAGCAGATGAAATGCTTTAGAATAAAGTAGAAATGGCAACAGAAAAATTGATGATCATCCAAAATATAAACTGTTGTAAGCATTTACATTTTGTAGCAATTTATATAAAAGTATAGAGTTAAAATCCAAATATATAAACATCAAAATCAATAAATGTTTGTAATATAGCAAACAATGCGGAAAGTAATAAAATAAATAGATTAGTATTTATATTTTGTTTTGTCTATTTAGTTGATATTTTTTGCAAGGGGCATGTTTCAAAGGAAACCGCAACCCCGAAAACTATGTTATAACCGAATGAATGTCAAATTCAATAATAATTTGTAGAATTGTTTATTTATTTTATTAGCAATACTGGAATTCACTGGCAATCAATTTAGGGGGATAAATAGATAAAAAATTTTCAATTTTGTAAAATTTAGTTACTTGTTAGAAATGAGAAATGTTATTAAATTAAAGCTAAATAACCCTATATATATGCTTTGTTTATTTAGGGGAAATAATATTAGCTTTATATAAAAGGGCAAAGAAATAAGACATCAAAAATAAGACATAAGAAATAAAACATCTAAGTTTCACATTTCTTCGGTAGTTTTCAAACATTTATTTTATCCCTCTAAAAATGTAGATGTTTAATTATCATTAATTTCATCCTAACTATTTTCACCAATCTCTTTTCTTCTTAGTTTTCTCAATCACTATTTAGATTAGATTTTGTTTGTGACTTTTTAATATAAAACATCAATTTATTTGAAAATAAATTTGTGACATGCAAATGATTAGAATCGCATTAACACCACAATCCTTTTATAACAAACTGAATTTGTGTTGTTTTTCTTTTGTAAAATATTTTACTGATATATTCCCAAAAAAATGTTTAATATATTTTCGAACTTTGTTGTCATAAGGAGCAAACGAATATGTAGACTTTTACGTACAGTTAATCTCAAAAATAAGTATACAGAAATACTGACAATTGGTTTTATTTAAAAAAGGATATTATTTTTTCAAAAATCAAAAAAGTAAGATATTTATTTATTAAAAACAATTATGATAATTATTATTCACTACTTTTTTCCGGGTTATTTTGGATACTTGAGTTCTCATTTAAGGTGTAGTTAAATAGGTACAAAATTTACGTCACAAAAGTAAGTATACAGATAATTTCAATATGTATTTGGCTTAATGATATTAACAAAATTCATGACAATTTTACCTGTTTGAATGTAATTATTTTATAATAAAATATTCTGTACACTATAACATGGAAAAAATTCACTTTTTGTTCCGAAAAATTTAAATTTTTGGTAATTTATCTGAATATTATTTATAGGAGCATTTTTTCCTATTTAAGAACATCTGACTATTTAAACCCCCGGAGTTTTGGATCAGGTATTCAATAATATCCCTCGTTTGTTCATTATGATGCATTGGAAAACGATATTTTAATTTTTGAAGTAATTATTTCTTTACAGTAATTGCAATCCATTTCGGAACATTGCCGTTTTTAACATAGTGTAGCGTTCATATTCGATATTTAATGACGATTTCCTAAAATTTATATCTTAAAATGCGAAATTAATAATATTTGTACTAGTATACATTAATTAAAACAAGTTTTTTGGTTCCAATCATCCATTACACACTCCTAAATACTACCAATAATCGTCAAATGGTGACCATGTCAATAACTTACACTACCTATCGGTTCTGAAATTGGTTGTTGTCCAAAATAGTAAGATTTTTATATTAAATCAGGCTCAATTAGTGGTATGAATACGAATTGAACAATTTTGAACACGGATACATCTTAATTTGTTGGTAGAACAAATAAAATGTCCGATCCATAAAACATGGTTATTGTATCGAGTATATCAAGATATGATTGGTAGCATTATTGTATACTGGAAATCGGAGTATTTGGAAAACCTGTTTAAATTAAAGAAAATATATAGAATTATCCAAATTTTAAAGTTTATGTTGTAAGTCTTAAGAAATCGGAGTTAAATTTCGGGTTTTTAAGAACGTACTGTGTTCAAAATGGTCAAATCCATGCATATAACATTAATTTCGAAATAACAACTCTTTTCAAAAGTTAAAAATTCTATTTCCAATGCATCATTTGGGTTCAATCACCACCAGATCCACAATCCGGGATCTAAAGTGGAAAAAAATCGTAGAAATGAGAAAAAACTGTTTTACTAATTAATTCCGGAGCCAATCGGCCCAAATTTCAAGATTTCGGAACTAAAAGTAGATTTTTTCCAAGTTATTGTGTAAAAAATATTTTATTAACAAGTTAGAGTGCTATATTCGACTATGCCGAATCTTAAATACCCTCCACCACCACTATCTAATTTTTAGATAACTTTCCAAAATTTTTGTCGAACTAATTTTGATTAGGTCCAGAAAAATGTATATTAATACGCCAGTTCGAAAACATATTAATAGAATGATGTATCTATACACAGAATATGGGAGTTGTGACCAATTATGGACTGATCAGGAAACAATTTCGTATAATGATTTTTAATCAATGAAATATGTGCGTTTAGGTGACTTTAGGAAGTGGACTTTATATAGGAGCTATGAGCAATTAAGGGCCTATCCGGAAAAATTTCGAAGAGTGATTCATATGTGCACAAATCATATTTTATCAAGATATCTTTATTTGATAATTAAATATGTGCGTTTAAGGGATTTTTTGAAGTGGACCTATTACCAAATATGGACCGATCCAGAAAAAATTTGGTACAATGTTTTATATGCCTATCTGCAAAAAATTTCGTAGAGTGATTTATGTATAGACAAAACATATTTGTGTCGAATTTTCTCAAATTAACTTTATTTGACAATGAAATATGTGTGTTTAAGTGATTCTCAGAAGTGGTCCTTATATGGAAGCTATGACCAATAATGGACCGATCCGAGAAAAAAGTGGTAGAATGATTCATATGGACACAAAATTTATTCAAGTTGAATTTTACCCCTATAGCTTTAGAATTCAATGAAATATATGCGTGTAAGTGATTTTCGGAAGTGGACCTTATATGGGAACTATGACCAATTATGGGCCTATTCGGGAAACATTTCGTAGAGTGATTCATATTTGGACAAAGCATGTTTGTGTCGAATTTTATCAATATAGCTTTATTTGATAATGAAATATGTGCTTTTAAGTGATTTTCGTAAGAGGACTTTATATGGGAGTTATGACCAATAATGGACCGACCCGTTAAAAATTTATAAAATGATTTGTATGTACACAAAACATATTCAAGTCGAATATTATCCATATAGCTTTAGAATTCAATGAAATATATGCGTTTAAGTGATTTTCGGAAGTGGACCTTATATGGGATCTATGACCAATTATAGGCCTATCCGGAAAAAATTTCGTAGAGTTATTTATGTTTAGGCAAAACATATTTGTGTCGAATTTTGTCAAGATAGCTCTACTTGACATTGAAATATGTGCTTTTAAGTGATTTTCGGAAGTGGGCCTTATATGGGAGCTATGACCTATAAGGGACCGATCCGTAAAAAAAAAATTGTGAAATGATTTGAATGCACACAAAACATATTTTTGTCGAATTTTACTCCAATAGCTTTAGAATTCAATGAAATATATGCGTTTAAGTGATTTTCGGAAGTGGACCTTATATGGAAGCTATGACCAATTATGGGCCTATCCGGAAAAAATTTAGTAGAGTAATTTATATTTAG